GATGCTGTCCCTTCCTAATCCCGTCGTCTTTCTCTTGCTTCTTCTCCTAGATTTTTTTTTATTTTTAAACGTTTCTCCCTCAGTTTTTTTTATGTTGTTGTTTATACTATTCTCCGGACTTCTTCCCTCCTGTCGTGACAAGCTATAAATCGACGCGGAAAATGTGTAAATATTATTATACCTTGAAAAAGACGGGGCTCTCCCGACGCAAACGTCGGCTGAATGAACAGTTATCTTGATGATATGTGGGGTTTAACGTTCCAAAACCACCATATTATTATGAGAGACACCGTAGTGAAGGGCTCCAGAAATTTCGACCACCTGGGGTTCTTTAACGTGCGCCCAAATCTGAGAACGCGGGCCTACGGCATTTTCACCTCCATCGAAAGTGCAGCCGCCGAAGCCGGGATTCGGTCCCGCGACCTGCGGGTCAGCAGCCGAGTACCTTAGCCACTAGACCACCGCGGTGGGGCAACAGTTGTTATCTGAAAGCGCATTAACATCCATATATATATATATATATATATATATATATATATATATATATATATATATATATATATATATATATATATATATATATATATATATATATATATATATATTTCTCATATTTTGTATACGGACACGTGTCGGTTTAATCATGCATGCTTATCTATATACTGATAAAATTCTTGCACACTTTTCATTTCTACCTTCCCACAGGTGCCCCACAGCCAGGCATAAGGGCCAGCACGCTTGGCCTTATAGCGGGCTTCCTGGTGAAAGCAGCTGAGGATTGCATTACTTGCGACGACTGCATCGGCAAAATCAAGGCTCCCAGCTCATCTGGACCAGCTACTGCTGTGATATTTAATTTAGACAGGGGAGGGCTTTCATACCCAACGATCTCATTTCTTTCCTTTGTGAGCACTCTAGAAAGGGCCGCGGAAGCATTTGCGCCATTGGCCATTTCCAAAAAGAGGCCGATGGCACTTTTTGTGCAAACTGTGCTACCTGCAGTGGCCTTGAACCCTCTTTTCAGCCATAAAGGCGCTACTAGCGAGCACCGAGAAGCCATGGCGCGGCTAGTGTTGCAAAAATTTAGCCGTCCTTTCTTCTCAAACTACGTGCGGGACAAAACAGCCAAAGAAGGAAAGAGAAAGAGAATAGCCGAAAAGCCAAAATCTCGCAAGATTTTAAAAGTTTAGTTGCATGCCTCCATTGTATCATGTACGCGCCCAGAACCTTGCTAGCACATTTTATTGAACTATGACCCAAATGCACGCAGCTCTGTACGCGTACATATGTTTTTCTTTATTGCAGACACAAGCCGTCACTGTGTGCCAGCAAGTAGGATATTCTTCGAAAGTGCAGAAACTTTGTTTGAAACATCAGCTTTAACTGGCATATTGTGGCACGCATAAGTAAAGCGACAAATGTGTTTTGTTTCATTTTGAAGTGCTGTAACATTGCTCGAATCACACGCATACACTCGCCAAATTCTTTTAGCAGAAACCTTGATATCACTTTGAGGGATCTGCTTTTCATTGACAAACGAGTATAATGGCACATTTTCAGCATGTGTACGCGCCCCAACTGCGGGTGTCGCCCTTGGGCGCTATCAATCAAACATAACCACTAGTACAACAAAGGCGGTACTATTCCGCCCTAAAAATAAGTCTGTTAATGAAAACATACATTTCAAGTATGGCGATACTATTATTGAGTTAGTAAATTGTATAAAAATTCTTGGAGTTACATTTTCGAGCAATATGCTTTGAAACGATCGCATTTACAGTGTGCTGGGTCAGTTATCTCGCGTAGAGGGCACGGTGTACAGTGGCAAAACTGTTCTACTATACAAGGTAAAATTCTTACTTTATAAATGACTGTTCTGTTGGCATCTTGCTTATTGTTTCTTGGTATGAAGGACTACGACTAACACGCGCTTACAAAAACTGTACCTGATGCAAAAGACGTATATTAGAATAATTTTTTACTGGTCGTATGATGCTCGCAGAAGTGAATTGTTTCAACAGGCTGGAATACCACCCCTACATCGTCTCTACGATTTTAAGTTAGCATTGGTGGTCAGGCGTCAATTTCAAGAAAGTCGACATTATTTGTACGACCTCTCGAAACTGCAGCCAAATAATTTGTTCGAAACATGACATAAAGAAACATGGAAAATAAAAACTTCGAGAACAAACTACTCCACAGATAGGTTGTTCTACACAGTTTCTACGTTAATTGATAAATATGTGAAAGCTGGCATAGATTTCTTACTCTGTACCCGAACTCAATTGCACGATATACACATGTATAGTTTTCAAGATTTCTTTGCAGTTGCTACATTGTTATCATGGTTGCTATTTTTATTTTTAGAATTTGAACTTGATATTTTTGTAATTGTTGCTTAGATAACATTGCTAACTGTTTGCCAGTGCTGTCGTGCTAAAGGCGTCTGTGGGCCTATGTCAAGCTGCCTCTTTCGAAGAGCAGCTTTTACCTGCCGCTGTCCTTCATCAAACTATTGATGAAAAATAAAACATTATTATTATTATTATTATTATTATTATTATTATTATTATTATTATTATTATTATTATTATTATTATTATTATTATTATTAACTATGCTCGACAAGATGATGATAATGATGACGATAAAAACTTTATTGGGGTCGCAATGTGTTGCCCTCGATAGGCACATCACTGCCTTTACCATATCGTCTCATCGCACGGACATATAAAATCATAGAAACGCGCATCGGCCAGCGCTCCCCGTTCCAGCAGACAAACTCCCGTAGCGAAATTTGACGCACAATTTTTGTTGTGTAGGTCACAGTAAGAGTTAAAGCTTCAATTCCTGTGTCTCTCCTTGATATGCGTCCGTGGGCGTATGTGCATTATTCTCTTCTATCAATTGACTACAAGTGTAACACCTGTCCAGGGCGAGTGTCCAAGGTAAGTGCTCAACAGGGGCACTGCGTTTCACCTGACGCGTCCTAAACAACCTAAAATCAGTTTGATATTCTATTACCAATGAGTACATTATTAGTCAAAAGCTTTATGAATACTAAATTGAAGTTTTTTTAGGCTGGAATGGCAAAAACAACCATGCAGCAAGACATTTCTACGCAAATATACAGCTTTAGAAGTCAATCAACCAGTATAGCCTAACTACTAAAATGTAACACATAGCACACGTTAGCCTTTTCAGCAAAAAACAATCACACGTATAGGCAGTTTGTCACAGAAGCAGACGCATGGTATCAGTCCGTCGCCCTCCTGCCGGCCGCACAGTAGCAGACGAACAGGTTATAGGTAGCGCCACCTACGGCGAGCGATTGAACGAGAGCGGGGACACGCGCTCCCATAGGAACCCCGCTATCTGAACAGGTCAGGAGTGTAGTAGGTCATGATGTGGACGCCGACGCGTGCGCCTTCCCTGTGCAGTCGCCATCTGACACTGCGCTGGAGCCGCTTGATAGCGCCTCTGACTGGCGTTTGCCACTGTGGTATAGCCATGGAGAAGGAGAGTGCGAATGCTGCTCAACGGTGCAGTAGAGCGGAGAAGCTTTACTCATCGTATCCCGAAGTAGTTGTCCGGCAAAATAAATATACGTGTGTCATTGCAGCAGCAGTAAGCATGATAATCAAGCTAATCCTATACACTCTGGAAAGCTAAGAATAATCAGCTGAACCTTTGCTAACGCTACGTATATTCTGGCATAGCTGAGCTAAGCCACTGCCATTTTTTTTGATGTTATAAAACATGCCTCGCTGCTTTGTCACTGGCTGTCAAAGCGGCTTCGACTCAACGTAATCTGCGACCGAAAAAAGGCACTTTTTCAAGCCACGCGTTGATGAGGTGGGTCTTCAACAGTGGCAACAAGCAATGCCGAGATTGGATAAGGAACCATTAAGATCTTGCGCTGTGTGCGACCTCCACTTCCAGGAGGACGATATCTTCTTGACTACGCGCACGATGTTCACAGTGAAGTAGTTTTGATACCGCGTGAACAAAAGTGACTTCCAGTTTGTTTGTGGTAGCGTTCAATAAATTGTGTTCATTCAGTAAGGCTTTGCTGAACACATCGTATTTTGCATTTTATAGCCTTATAAGGGTAATGCATTTATTGAATTCATGGGCTATCTTTCCTTGAAAAAAAAAAAAAAAGAAATCGTTCTGATCGTAAATTCGAGTTATCAGGAACGTACAAATTGTTCTAGGCTTTACACTTCCAATATCTCCGGCGGCATCAGATGAATCTGGTGTGTGCCTCATTGTATAACAATAACTAAGGTTATACGATTTCGAGGCACGTTATGTTAAAGAGCTTTGAAAAATTTGGCCACCTGTGGTTTCTCTAACATGCACCTGAATTCAAGTGAATAGTCCTCCAGTATTTACCCTTAAGACCACTGCAACGGTTTTTTTAATATATACGGTTGAAGTTCAAAGAACAAGAACGCAATACGGCTAAATTAACACAATGCCCGCAAGATTCAGGCATCGCACTCGCATCTCCGCCATGTGGCACCGCATTAGCCGCACAACTGGTGCTTTAATTGCCCACTCTTAATAACCTTAGCGCACTATCACGGAAAATAACTCCCGCAACGCCAAATTAACCGCAACAACTCGCTGTGCGTAGGATCCATTACGTCGCGGCGACCGGTAGATGGATGGATATGGCTGTACCCTTTATATCGGGCGGTGACTAGTGCCACTAAGCCATAATACTTAATGAATTAAAAACAAGATTTATTTTTTCCCTTTAAATAATGAAGTTGAGGATTCGTACTTTGCACTGAAGGGTTTAATTTTTACTCATGCCTTGACTTTAGCCACCAATAAGTCAAACGGGATTGGAAGCGCCACCTAGGGAGCGGGAAACGAAAGGGCCCGCGTTTCGCCGCCTCGTCCCATAGAAACGTGGCGCTCGTGTCCTGTGTCGTCACACCGTGGTGTCGTCGTTTTGTTCTCGTGCTATAACTATCGTCATGCCTCGTCCCAGCAGAATTTGCAAACTGAAGAAGGATCTAGTGACGTAGGGTGCAGTCTAGCCCGGCCGTGCTATGGTGCTTACATGGAACCTTCCTCCATGTTAGTATTCTAAGGACCATAGACATGGAACCTTGCTCCATGGTAGTATTCTAGGGACCATAGCCATGCCCAAAGTGGGCAAGAACCACAATAGAGGCATCATCATCATCATATTCATCAGCGCCATCTTTTGCGTGAAACAAGTGTGAGAGAAGGGAGCCAACTGAGCCTACTGTACCTCGTACCTTGTCTAAGCATTTCTTAGTCGGTGTGTGCAGAGCGTGTTTGTAATATGGAGGACCCCTCCTCGTCAATAGCGACGGGGTCGCCCCGAACACGGCAAGGCGATCGTGATGGCCACGGAGTCCTGTGCGGCGACGTGTGCGACGAGGAGGAACTCTGCTCTAAGGCGGCCGTAGACTTCCTGCGTGCGTCTAGCGGTGATCCATTCCAAGATGGCGAAGACGACGCCGTGTACGGCCGCAACGGCGAGTTTCTGCTCTCCAAAAAGCCTGACGAATGGGCGCGCGGCGACGCGCTTGCGAACCTTGTGTTCGAGCTACGGGCGGGCGATGACGACTTGTTCGGGGGAGCAGAGCGTCTGCTCTGTGCCCGCGATCTCTTCGAGAAAGAAGATGCCACCAAGGACGACACCACCACAAAGAACACCGAGGAGCCCGCTTCCGAAGAGCCGCAGGCCGGCACCCTCTTTTCAGGTATTGTGCTCAAGGTCAAGCTCTGGTACACTACTCGGTCTCTTATCTGTGAAGTGGGCTTGATGCTGCATTTACCTGGTAGCCTTTGCGTCGTATACAGAAGCTGCCAGGTATACAGGTTTCAGCCCACATAGCATCAGCTCATGCACGCGGTGTTTAGTACTCTTATGCTGGTGTCACGCGGTGCACTCATCGCGATTTAGCACGATCAGGATCAATACCGGTGTCACACGGACATTTTTTATCGTAATCAGCGCCGATCTGGGTTAACCATGATACGGATTGGGTGCTGCTACACGGTCACTCTTATTCGCGATCAGGCCCGATCGGGATAAGACTCGTGATCTGGCTGAGAGTGATTTCGTGTCGTCTGCACCCCCTGGCCGAGCTTGTTGAAAGCAAACGAAACAAGAAAATAAAGCATAGTTCTTTAAAAAAATTTAAGAAGCTAGATAGTTACTTATAAAGAAAAAATTTCAACTGTTTCAATGAGAAAACTATCAGTATTCCATATTTTAAGATTCGTATTGACCGCATGCAGTTACGGGAGAAACAAACAAGTTCAACGCTCGCACAGTCGTAGCACCTCGAAGCAAATTGAGCCCTTGGACTACGTCGCAGTGTACGCGCACTTCGTGGTCGAACGAGGAGACCGTTAAGTGCCAACCACTGGCACGCGGTGATCACGCCTACGCGTCAAAAGTATCGAATGCCCCTCTCGGCGTCGGAGGGGGGATACGCTACAGTGTACTAGAAGAGAGCAGTGGGCTTACTCCGCCGCTCCTCTGACGCAGTTGGTGTCGCATAGGAGAGGTGGCGCCACAGGCATCTTAGATAGAAGCTTTGCCTGCAGAAGCTGCTCGCCGCTGGCCGCTCGTACAAGTTGCGACGCGCGTTTCTTTGATATTTATAATAAACTTGCTTGCATTGACTTCCCTTTGACTGTACTGAGAACGTATGTTGCTCTCGGTTCAGTATTATTTCCTTTTTTTTTGGCGATAGATTTGCCGAAAGTCAGTATGATGGCAGCTTATGCAGATATGCTTGCTCCTTTCTAGTGCGATGCAGTTAATGATTTTTTTTTTCTTGGGGTCGGGGAAGCTTGAGTTTTTTGCACATTTTGACAAGCACTACATTTGTTCAGGCCGCATCGTATTGCCCCCAATATAACACCTCGCCGAGCCCTAAAGGACGGTGTACCCGTCAAAATATACGGTTTCATACAGTGACCAGCCATGTACTTTGATCTAAGTGCGCGTTAAAGAACCCCAGATGGTCGAAATTTCCAGAGCCCTCCACTACGGCGTCTCTCACAATCATGTAATGGTTTTGGGACGTTAAACCCTAAATATTAATATTATTACAGTGACCAGATACATGGTTACATGCTGCGTAGACCTAACCTAAAATTATTTTGTTGCAAGATTGTGCCCTGCCTTCCACCAGATAATTAGAAAACAGTGCACGCTCGCTTCCTAGCCGAGCTTTAACATGCAGGCATGCTGGCTGAGTTTGTGCCTTTGCTATGATGAAATTAAATTGTAGCTGAAAGATCTTTTGTTCTAATTCGGTTGTTGCACATAGCTCAGTAGTTTTCTCGGGGTTTTCAATAAATCTAATTATGCAGTTACACATCTGTTAGGCCTATGTACAAGCTTCCGTTCCTGATATGAAGCTCTTATTTTCAAAACTGAAGCACAATATTAAACAACTGATTTACACACACTTTATTCACTTCATCATGTGCAACGGCTCAGCTTCAGCTGCTTGGTCCTCTGCCGCTTTCCTCCTTTGTCACTGTTCAGTCCTTTCACATAAAAATAAAGACGGTTGACAACGTAAAAACTAATTACTTTCACTTTGAGAGTAGCTGCATGTACACTGCAACCAATTTCGATGTAAATTCTGTGCTGACAACTGCCAGCATGTCCATAATGTTGTCAGAGTGCAGCTCGCTCTCACAGAAACAATCTGTGAATATATCTTCGTGCTTTTTCACAAAGCCGTACAGCTGACTAGAGGGATGGAGGAGGCCTCCTTGGTCACTATAGTTTGTTAGCCGAGCAAGCTGAAAACTTTCACCAGGTGAGGTCACGGTGAGCAGCTTGACGCAATCTTGGCATTTTGTTCTAGCATTGACAACGCATTTTCGTGCAAGATAGCCCGAAATACGGTGAATGAGCCTGGAGTCGCTTCTGACCACGTGCTTGTTGTGGTCATCTGAAGCCTGTGGGCCAGCATTATGCTGGTGTACCATGATTTTTTTTTGTTTTCTCTTCATCTGCCGGGGTAGCAGCAGTTTGACTGCACTCCTCTGTATCAGTTGATGATTCGAGCGAGTCAACTTCCATTAAGGAGGCCAGGGTACCCTCCTCGTAGTTTCCATTGCTAACAGACCTAACCAGACCATAAAATGAGAGGCAGTTCACAGTGATTAGGAACTGTGTTGGAGTTGGGTGATCATTATTGCCAGAAACTTGTCTTACAGTTATAAAAAAAAAAATTCCCGAGTGGGTCCTGGCTGGGATGTCATTAGGTACTTGTATTCAACCTTGGATGTCAAGTAGGCAAGCAACTCGAAAGTGCTTGAAATGGTGACACGCAAGCCGGCTGCTGTGGAGTCACTTAAAAATCAACCAGTTCTCTTGGCATGCCTTTTCCACTGATCAAGGTACGACAGAAAGTCCTTCAGGGTTTCTTCTTTCAAAGAGCTTGGCCGGAGAGCTTCAGCAGCATACTGTGATGTATAAACTGGCTCATCTTGTTGAAAAAAAAAACAGAATAAAACAATATTGCTTGAATTCTTGTTGACATGACCTCTCGGATTACAGCCACCGTCAAGCCGTCGGGCAAAAAACTGCAAACTCCATCATTTTCACTTTAAGGAATGTTTACTAAAGGTATTCTATAAGCTGGCTGGCAGGGAGATTGGTTAATCTGGGGCATGGTGTTGTCTGGGGTGAAGGCCTCGTCAGGAGACATATGGGTCATCTTTTGCCTAAGCTGGAGGACATAATTCACATTGTGTATTTATGTCTGAAATAAACGAGTGAATTGCGTATATATGTCTGAATAAACAAGCGCGGAGACTGGGTCTCCCGCGAGGTACCGGCACTTCTTTTCCCTCAATAATATGCACATAGTCTCTGAGCACATAACGCAGCTCGAAGTAAAGCTCGCACACTGCACTGGTGTCTTTCAGGGGCTTGTCTGATCTGCGCATGTTCTTTTCCCATTGTTTACGCCTGTTCTCATCCTTTGGGACGCCAAACTATGACAGCTTCGGCCCACCCTTCACGAACACATAGCCTGTTTGGCACCCAGGCGCGTAGCAGTGGTTTTGCCAATATCGCGGCATCGCTTAGGCACTAAAGCTTATACCGATTTCTTGACTGGTGCGTACGGCTCACAGCTGATGGCAAAAACTCGGCGCTACAATGGCCACAGCAATAGCACGTCGCTCGGCAACTGCTGCTGCGTAAGAGCTGGCCAGCACTTTCAGCCGCCACGCTCACCCAAAGTTCCATTGATGGCGATGCCAGCGCCGCCGCCTTGGCGAATAGAGAAACACACACAGGCGACGTTCGTGTAGCCACCCCACCGCATGCCCTCTGCCGAGGAGTAAGCCCTCTGCCCTCTTTTAGTACACTGTAGATACGCGATGAGGTGCGCGAATGAGGCTTGACATTTCGTTTACGTCACCACCAGTGTTTCCCGGTACTTGGGGAGCAACCCGCCATGTTCAGGCCCATTAGTAGCTTAAAAATAGCCAAACATAAGTCATAAAAATAGCCAAAGACAATATATACAGATAATACGTTTTTATTTTTTATGAACTGACACACAGCGAGCTCATACACGAAGAAAATAAATATTCAATGTATGAACAGACAGATTAAGCACTTTAAACAAGTACAAGAAAAAAAATGTGGTTGATAAAAAACTTGTGTGAAGGAGCTTATACATGGGTAATACATACTCGCAACAAAATAAACCTAATGAGAATAAACAAATTCAAGATACAGGCAATATCTCAAAAATATGGTTACACATGCTAACTTGTGAAGTATCAAAAATTCAGTTAATGAACACGAAATAGTTTTTACAAATAAATCAAACAAAAACAAAAGAAGCACAAGCAATATAAACAACTTAGAAAACATCATGTAAAAAATTGTCACACGAGAAAAAAAAAAAAAAACTACTGACAGCTAGGGTCACCTATCGTTAGATTGTGGAATTATTGCCGCGTTTGCTAGGAGACTAGAGAGAGAATCGGCCATCTACCCTTATCTTTCTTTACTCCTATTTCACCAAAACACTGCGCCGTGCTCCCTCAAGGGCACCAGTAATGAGCATCTTCTTTTTCCTTCTTTTTCCTCTTCTAAGCACTATCTCCACCAAGCAGTTATCGACATGACATTTGAATGATCTTACAAGATCGCTAGGTGTCCGAACCAGTGGCGTAGCTTGGTTGTATCACGGCGTTATGGAAACATTCCAAAAATGCGTCCGATGGCACAAAATCTTTACAGCATTGTGTCTCGCCCCACAGACTAAATTTTAGAAACAAGATATTTTCAAGTGTTCACAAATTCATCTAGTTTCAGAGATCCGTTTTTGTGAGATCCGTTTTTGTGTGGCTCAACAGAGGCATTCGACAAAGGCAACGTGAGAAAAGACATGGCTAGTTTGGAGAGTAAAGGAAGCATAGGAGCACCAGCAATGTTTGTTACTAGGTAAACATTTTTTTCCACTAAGCCATCGCCGCTCCTAGCGATCCTGGCGATGGTGTAGTGGTTAGAGCATCCGCCTCGCATGCAAGAGGTCCGTGGTTCGAATCTCGGTCTTGCGCAGTTCCCAACCGGATAAAAAAAAAAAAAAAACGCCTGGCGATGGAAGTGCATTAAGAGGCCTGGGGTGCGGCCTCACCGGTGACCACCACCAGTAACGCACTCCCTCACCAGAGGAGGATTGGCCACCCTAGTGCAGTATCTGGC